TTCGAAGTTTTAATCTCATTCATGTTGGATACAAATCAATTGATATGGAAATTTGCTTGTTATCATAAGAGACACCACGCATCTTGGTTCCTTGATTGCTGCACTTGCACGAGTTTGGAGTGTTTGCGCACGCCCTAAAGCTCGAAGGTTAGAGGTTAGCTACATATATATTCAAGTTGCTCCATGATCTTCGCCTTATGTGTACCCCTTATTGTGTGGACTTCGTTTGTGAGGATGGAGACAGCCTAACTAGGGAAGATCGATGAGCTTTCTAAATTTTAGGATTGCGAGGCCGGGGAGCAAGAATTTGCTCTGCTTTTTAGGGTTTTTTTTTTTTTTTTTTTTTTTTTTTTATGGACTATGGATTGTGTTATCAACACTTCTCAACAGTGTCCCGGTATAGTTAAGATGAGAGTTACGGATCAACTCAAATGTTGTCCTTAGAACAATTTAAGAGGACACACATACCAAAAATATACCATAATTTTACAATTACAAACTCATCATGAATGAAAAAAATATACTTCTTCAGCCACGGAGGATGGTTAGCTGTAAATCCTAAACCCTAGTCATAAGGACTAAACTTTGCGAGCCGAAGGACTAAGGGTATCGTGAAGAAAGAACCACACTGCCCTTTGATGATTTTGTAATCATTAGGAAAAAAGTCTTGTATGAGTTACCTCTAATAAATGTCGAGCATCCTCTGCACAGTCTTTTATGAAGCGCACAAACCACAAACATACTACCTCTGAACAAACAACAGATGTTGCTTTAGGATCCGAGAGGTTGAGTAAAAACTCATGACCACAACATATCCATAAAAACTCCTTGATAAAGCAAGAGAGTGACCACAATTACAAAGACTTTTCTTGTCAAAGGGAGAGCGACCACAACTGAAAACAGAGAGAGAAAGAGAGAAGATAGCAAGACATAAATTGATGCTCACCTACGGCATAAATTCTTAATGACTTATTCGACCGTATTACACCCCATTAAGAATAACATAAACATAAAAAAAAAAAGAAAAAAAAAAAAGAAGCCAATAATCGGATGAAACTCCCGTCTCATCAATTTCTTTTTCGTCTCACTTCCTTGGTAACAGAAGATTGGGTGGGGGTGGGCCGTTGAACAGCCATACCCAGATTTGGAAGCTTCATTAAGAAATCTGGAAGTTGACTGTTGAACCATTTTGTTGTTGTTGCAGAGAGCATAAATCTGGGAGTGGGAACTGAAATCATGCATAAACTAAATTGATTAATATTTGCCCACAACTAAATTGGATCGTAGCAGGACCTAAGATGTCATTTTGGAGTATCAATCACTGAACATACTGAAGTGATCTAATCAAACTTTCATGCTTTGAATTTTAGGGTTCCATGCTTTAATCTCTCGGTGTTTTGCAAAAACACCTCCAATGAAAAATAAAAATGGTTTCCCTATCCGCTTGAAAATTTCTTCTGTTGAAGACGGCCTATCTACCGCGTTAGAAACTTTATCGGTTGGGTAATGAGGTGAGGGAGGAGAAATAAGATAGATTTTCCGTTAAAAAAACAAATAAATAAATAATAAAAAATAAAAAATAAAAACTCAAGGTTTTCCTTGTTCTTGATCTGGTGCAATGCGTTTGATAAATCTGTCGGTTGCAATAAGTTAGTCCCTCACATGACCTAAAACAGTGGTCCTTGTGAGCAGCACTGTATACACACCAATGTTTAAAAATAAAAATGTCACTTAATACTACATTCTAGTGGTATTTATTTTTACTTGTAAGTGAGAGGTTTTAGGTTTGATTCTTACCAAAAACAAATTTGAATAACATTATTACTAGCTCATTGCGAAACATAAACTTTTAGCCCACTCACCCACTCTCTCAGGGTCAATAATATATCTTTTGTTCCAAAATAATTTTATTGTGAAAAAAAAAATCTGTTCAGATTTCAGACAATTGAAATTTGTGGGAAAAAAATAAAAATAAAAAACCCTACTTAGTATTAATCTTTGCATGATTTCTAGGTATCGCGAATACCAACTCACTAGTGAAACTTTGTGTTCCAGACCAATGAGCATAAAACACCTGGCCTTCTTCCTTTTAGGGATACCTGAATTAATTAATTTTTTTCAACTTTCAATTTCACCCCTTCGTAACTTTAATTAAAAACAAAAAAAGAACTTAAGTAAAAACAAAACAAAGTTTACCCAGATTCCGATCCTTTGCGCCCAACACCCTCACCCCACCCATCCCCCTTTTGCTCCTCCAGGCCTCACCTATTTCTCTCTCTCCCTTTCCCTTTCTTTCTCCTTTTCTCTTCCTTTTTTTCTTTCGCCGGATAAGGACATACGGGAGGTCAGCGACCTCACCAATTCTTAGATCGGAAATCGGAGATAGTAGATTTAAGGATTGTAGTTGTCGTCAACCATCTTGGGTCCCATGCCGAAGAGAAGGAGAAAACGGAGGGAAGATGAGAGGGAAAACGAGGAAATAAGTGAGAAAAGACGGGATGTCGCGGATGAATTCGCCGACCGTCGGTGGAGGTGGGTTGTTGCTGGTGTGGCGGCGGCGTGGAGGGTTTTATGTGTTTGCTGGTCTGAGTTACTGAGAGTTCTTAATATTAGGGTTGGATTAGGAATTGTATTGACATAGGATTAACGTTTGGCATTTTTTTATTCCATTAAAATGAAAGAGCTAGGTGGCAAATTGTTATTTGTTGGGAATGCCAACTCATTTAGTGGGCCGGGAACACTGAAAAATTTCTTATGATTTAGGAAGGTTTTAATAATTTTTGCTAAATTCAAAGTATTCAAATTATAATAAAGTTGTAATATAAGATTGACTGTTTCACTTGTATCTATGTATGTTCTACGCCATGTACTTTTTATACTCAATTACGTTACACCATTTAGTATTACAGTTTAGTAGTATTTATCTTCACTTGTAAGTAAGACGAATTTTAACTACATTATAGCTAGCATCGTTTGTTCCAAAAAAAAAAAAACTTGCATTACAGCAAATTAGTGTGTTACATCGCATAACTTCTCTCTCGCCTCTCTCTATCTTTGCTTAATGCAAATCTAACCAAATCAAATTTAATAATTCTACAGAAGAAAACCTAATTCTTGTAAGTTTAATCTAGTAATTGGTGAACCAGTTGAAAGATTCCCTTAAACAATTTGGTAGGTGGGTGATGAGCATCAAGCCAACACAGATGTAGCATACAATGCAAATTTGCAGAGATAACTTGTCTTCTTTTATCCAAACATGCTCACGTTTGACTGTGAAACTCAGACACGTGCACGGAGAGGAAATATTTTGGGGGCAAACCATAGTTAAACAAATAATAATAACAAAAACGACGACGTGGAAGCATTAGCATTTTGTTAGCAATATAATACAAAAGAGATTTTGTAATTAATGATTAATCATTTAGGATCAATGTTGAGATGATGAGCATTTTTATGCGTCAATTTGCCAATTGTAACTGTGTCGAAGGTCTCATTCATAAGTTCTAGAGAAAGCTAGGAATATTACAAACACTTGTTTGCGAAAATAGAAATATCAACATAAACTACGTACACGAATGATAATATATTGGAGGAAAATTTCACCTACATAGATATAATATTATATACATATATCATAGATAGACTATTAATATTGCATAGATATTGCAATGCGTGTAAGTATATTGTACAAGTGTTATTATTCTTAATGGCGATAGATCTATTGTCATTGAGGATTGTTATAGTTGTCGATATGTATTATATATAAAGTCTATATGCTCCCGATATTGTTAACGTTGTTGACACTTTCACTCATCATCGTCCATGATGTTGCTATCACCGAAAGCTAAATTTTCTTGCAGTCACAAGCAGGAGGTTCACAATAGAAAGATGAACTCAGATCGATTGGAGATCGAACTTGAAACGAGTAAAGATCGAGTCCGACTCGGTTAGAGAGTGAAAGTCGTAGAGAGAGAGAGAGAGAGAGAGATCCATGAGGACCAAATCAACTATATGGAACATTGTTGGATGATGGACTCAACATTTGACAAAGCAAGGTCTGCAATAGATTTGTTCAAGTTCTATAATGGATTTGCATACCCTAATTAGATTTCTACACCCGCATGGCATATATATAATTCGTGGTTAGATTTCTATACCCGCATGACGGATGTAAATCGTGGTATCAACAATATAAGTACAACGCCTTCAACAAGCAAAAAGTGTTAAGAATATCCTATATATTAAGGATAATGCTCGAGAAACTAAAGTTATAGACCAAATTTTATAAACCAAATAACATAAAAGTTGATGGTTGAATTATTACTTAAATGTTGATTAACGTGTGCTTATTTTTTATTGGTGACATATTATTTTAATTTGCAAATTTAGTTTACAAATTTGATCTAACTTGCATTACTGATGTATTAAATACTCTATGTAATCATTCATCAAACCAGACTTTATTTATTTATTTATTTTGTTGAAATTTAGAATTCCCTTGCAATTGAATAGAAAAATGACCATCAACCAAAAGCTTGTAGGTGATATCATCCTTAAGATTGCATTTCTTTAGCAAGATGGGAATATTATTTTTATAATTCAATTTATACCTTGGCACAATTATATTCTCCAAAGGTAGGTATGCAGAATTTAACACGTATATGATAAGAATGTATTAGAACATATCACTCAATCAGTCCATGGAGAGGGGAGCTAAATAATTAATTGGTCTTTTGGTCTTTGTCATGGATGATTGCAGGGCATGTAGCCCTTTCTTTGTTTGGTCACACCTAACCCGTGGATTCTTCACCCTGACAATAAACTTTGTACACTTGCTGGCCCCATGCTGCTTTTTTGCTTCCCCCAGTGTGCCACGTACTATCCCAGCAGAGTCAGCCCTACGTCTACACAGTAAATACGACCAAATTATGAACATGTACGTCAATTTCTAAGCAAAAGAGAATCACAAATTAAAACTGGCTGTAGATCTTATTTACACAATAATACAGAAGGAAATATTGACCACACGCATAGTCACAGATGACATTCTCTCTCCCAATGCCTACAAGTTGGCTTGGATTATATATTTATATATATGGTTTCTCTGCAACTTGTTGGCTAGATTAAACTTTGATCTCTCTCTGCAACTTGCTAAGAAAATCGTTCACTTAGTCTTTGTGTTTGTTGGAAGAATCATTCTCCCTTTAAATTATAGTGATCCCAGATCGCCATAACTCAAGCAGCAAAAAAGTTTGCACTTGTTCTTGCCTCACATATTCTATTATATTTCAGCATTTTAGCCCGTGGAGGGAGAGAGAGAGAGAGAGAGAGAATGACATTAGAGGCGGTGGTGTTCCAAGAAGAACAATATAGCTATGGTTGGAAGGATTCGCAGGCCATAGGAGGAGGAGGTGGTGGTGCTGGATCTTGGAGCCATGGCTTTGATTTTGGAGAAGAAGATCACCAAGAAGAGAGTAATGAGGTAGGGCAACAAGGTTTCAATATGAGTTTGGACTCTTCACCTTCCTCAATGGTGCAAAGTGTCAATGACTCTGACACCAATAATGGGTCAGCTTTCAATCACGTGTTCCCTTCGATTGAAGGTCTGGCGGCCACCACAGGGCGGAAAAAGAGAAAGCGCATCCGAAGCATCAAGAACAAGGAAGTTATGGAGACACAAAGGATGACCCACATAGCTGTTGAACGCAATCGGAGGAAGCAAATGAATGTCTATCTTGCTGTCCTCCGCTCTATGATGCCCGCTCCCTATGCCCAAAGAGTAAATTTCACCCAACTCTCTAGATTTGATATATGATACTTTTGCAACATAATTGAAACCTCTCCTCATAAAGTGCAAAAAGAAAAATATGAAAACATAAAATTTTCCATGTTTTACTGGAAGAAAATAATTAATGTCTTCTAATAACTTACCTAGAGTTCTTTATGGTACATAGGGAGACCAAGCATCAATTATAGGAGGAGCCATTAATTTCGTGAAGGAGCTTGAGCAACTTCTACAATCTATAGAAGGCCAGAGACGAACCAAGCAACAATCAGATCATCACTTAAATTTCGCCTCGATCTTCTCGAGCTTCTTTGCCTTCCCTCAGTACTCGACCTGTTCGACCAACCATGGTCATGGCCTATACAACAATAGCTCAATGGAGCTTTCAAATGAGTTAACGGCTGAGAAGCGGTCGTCGGCGATTGCAGATGTTGAGGTGTCAATGGCGGAAAGCCATGCCAATATCAAAGTGCTTGTTAAAAAGCAGCCAAGGCAGCTCTTGAATATGGTGCTTGGTTTGCATTCTCTGCGCCTTATGATCCTTCACCTCAATGTCACTACCGTGGATAGTATGATCTTTTACTCTTTCAGTGTCAAGGTTAGTTAAACATATAAATAATTTGTTGAGTTTTTTATTGTTTAGATTCATAAGTACATATCAACACAGAAACGAAAAGGATAATTATATTTTACACCCTTCACTTTTGAGGTCATTTTCAAAATGAGACACAAGGTTTTAATTTTGTCACATTACACCCTAAAGTTTTGAAATGTATTGATTTAGGCATTTGTCTCCTTTAATATCTAATCCTCCATCAAGCAATCAATTTGGACAAATTAATCCCTATGGTGTAAAATAAAATAAAAAAAATATTAAAACTTCATGGTCTATTTTGAAATTCATCTCACACCTCATGAATGTAATTATACCAATAATAAAATTGATTACACTTTTAATGAGTTTAATTTATTAAGTCGAACCAGTCTTATTAGTATGATAAATGCGTGAAACCCACTTTTAATTGAATTTTGTGTTTGAATTGATGAGACAGATTGAAGATAATTCTCAGCTGACCTCAGTGAATGAGATTGCAGCTGATGTGTATGAAATGGTGGGTAGGATTCAGGAGGAAGCTCAGCATTTAGCTCAATAACCTTTATTAGTTTGTCCACTAATATTGGCATCATGCTTTCTTCTTTATGTAATGTAGTAAATGGAAACAACTTGGGTTACATTTCTTAATTTGTACTTTCCAAGAATTATCTGCATTATGACATGGCTTAAATTTCTGATGAACTTAGTTGTTGTCCTCCCCATATTGGCATAATAGGTTGGTTGTGGTCGACGAAATATGAGTTGTAAGGGCATATTTTTAAGTAATCCTAAAAATAAATATTATTAGTATAAAATTGTAAATAAGAGGCATTTTTGAAATGTCACGTGAACTTTTACACTTTCTAATTAGTTATAGGAATTAAAAGTTTAATGGATCCCATTCTATTGTGATCACTATCTTATTCATTTTTTTTTTTTTTTTTCCAAAGACATGCCTTTTATCTATTTATACATATTTTATAGGCTGTTTTTATGTTTCTGTTTATATACTTTTTATTGCAGGCTATATTTTAATATAATTGTACATATCGAAGAGGCATGTGAATTTTGTCATTTCTGTAGGTGTTTTGTTTGTATGGCCATATTTCTAAAGAATCCTAAAAGTAAGTGTTAATTTTTAAAATTATGAAGCCTACGTGACCCGTATGCCAAATTATTAGAAGCTAACTACATTTTTTGGTGGCTTGAATATTGATGTGGGCATTCCAATTCGCCTCGTGCTTTGCCAGCCAAATAACTTGAATGTGGTTATGCAAATCATTGTGAAGTTTTGGATCTTGTGCACCTAGTTTGACAGCCTCAACTATATTGGTGAAAATATAGGTCTCCTGAATTTGTACCAAATTGTATGGAAGATACTCAAAGTAGACAAGCGTCTTAATTGTAAAACTGATTCGGCTGTCTGTGTACCGAACTTGGGATGTAACCTAGGAGTAACCAATCATAGAATACCTCATGACCTCTTTCGGCAAAAGAATCAAAGACTCTTCACTGACTGAGACTTAGGATAAATAGCCAGCCACGTACTCAGAGAGAATCTTCATCTATCCAGTCGGTTGAGACTCCTAAAACAAACTGACTCTACAGCTCCAGGCCCATCTATCCAGTCAGTCTCCTTCAATGGTTTCTTCTAGAGACCCCGTCTATGTAGTCGTTTGTTGTCCTTCGGCTGCCAACCCAAACCCATCTATCCAGTCATAATTTGTGTTGACAATTAGTGGATCATTTACTTTTCACAAAAATAGTGTGAAAGAGTTTCATGTAGAACCTTGATTTGTGTGTTGAGTTGATGAAAATCCTTTTCTCGTTGCCAATACTCTTGTATTATAGGAACATATTACTTCATGTTCAAGTTGTAGAGTTCTGATAGTATTGCAACTCCTCAGCATATTATCTAATTGCACTTGGAATTATCTTCACAAATCCTTCACCCACTGACAGTCTATCACACGCTACCGAACCTCACCTTCTTTGACTCAAACCAAGATTCGTAACGTAGTCCTATTATGTGATCAATTCATACTTTATCTAGAAATGAGTCTTAATCCTTAAGCAATTAATCCAAACCTTATCATAAACTAATCTTACGCCTCAAATAATCGTACTTCGTTTAGGACTCGGCCACACTACCAGCAATACATTGTTGAGCCGAGACTCACAGCCTTCTTTCTAAGTTGTCAACCATCTCGGTGCAAACTTAGAATTTCAGGCCCAAACAGTAGGTATTATTCGTATGAAATATGAAATTAGAGAAAATATTCAATTATCATATGACTTATACACTTAGTTATATGAATTATAATTTTAATGAACTCCCATTTATTGTGATCTCCATCTTTTTTTCCCCCAAAGGCCTTGCCTTTATCTGTTTATACATTTTTTTTATAGGATGGTTTTATGTTTCGTTTTAATTTTTTTTTTTATAGGAAAGAAAATTCATTAAAGTGAGAAACCCCTCACATAGTGGGAGCCATTACAATAAAAAAAGGAGGGCCAAGTTTGCTTCCACAAGAAGACAAGCATCCCAAATACAAAATTTATTAGTCTTAAGCCCAATAGACGCCATAGTGTCTGCAACAAAATTTGCTTCCCTGAACACATGCCCTTACTTGATATATTGGAAGGATGAGGCACACCACCTGATATCTTCAATAATAGATCTCAAATTCCACGGCACTTCACATACACCACGCACAACATCAATGATAAGCTTAGAATCACCCTCCACTAACACGTGCGTCAGGCTCCTCCTCCTAACCTAGATTAGAGCTTCACGTAACACTAGAGCCGTGAATTTTGGCATTTCTGTAAGTTTTTTGTTTGTATGTGCAAGTATATGAAAATTGCATCTTCAACGTAACTGACTAACCAATTGGTTCGAGGTTTTTAATTTTGTGCCTTTTAGTTAGGAACCTACTAATTAAACAAGTTCGATTGATTTGTTGATTTTTTTTTTTTTTAGTGCTACTAGAACCACCTTAATGTCTTATTTTCTTACCCAGGTTATAATTTTACCCACCACAAAAAGTTCAAAAATTAAAATATGTTTTGACCCCCTTTTGTTCCTAAAATAACCTCTAGAACATATTCAAATTCTTTTTTTTTTTTTTTTAAATTTTTATTGCCTAAATTACTCTCTACACAATTCCCGGCCTCTTCTCCGTCCTCCAACATGCCACCCACCCTCGAGAATATCATCTTCCATTTCATTGGCGCCTCTCACCGCTAAGGCTGGGCACTTGAAACCAAAAACCAAAACCAAAACACGAACCAAATCAGACCTCACCAAACGGCTCTGTTTTGCGGTTGTGAAACCTAACTGCAGTCTTAGAAACGGCTTGGTTTCAGTTTTGACTTTTAAAAATCGCACCGAAACCAAAACTGCACCTCAAATTAGATATCATGTTTTGATTGGATATTTGTTAGAGTCCATACATTTATTCAACTGCTATTCGATAAATATTATCACTCATTAGTCTCTCTCTCTTACCTACCTATACATGCTATTTATATTTACCACTCCTCTGGACCATATGAAATGTGATTTTATATGTTCATGAAAAATGAAATGATAAGCCATTGGAGTAGCTGGAGCATGGCGTGCATGCATCCCTACAAAATGTTAGCTCTGATTTCTCATCTGGCACAGATTGTGGAAGAATTTGATGCAGGTTTGAATCCATCTTTAATGAAGTTTTATGCAATTTCAAACGGTAATTTTTTTTTCTCAAAAACCGAACCAAAACTGTTTGACACCACACAAATCGAACTAAACGATTTGGTTTCTATTTGGTTTTGGCTTCAAAACCACACTGAATCGAACTACAAAAAGTTTCAGTTTTGGTTGCGGTTTCACTCAAAATCGCACCAAACTGAACCGTGCCCACCCTTACCCACCGCAACTACCACTACCATATCGACACCAACTTCTACCACTTAAATTGTGACTTCCACACTTCTACCACTTCGACTCCAGCCTCGTCCGGGCAAGATCTCTTGCGAAGATGGCTACTTTGGTAATTACATGATACCCTCCAGTGAAGAGTTGAATCGTTGCCATTGCAGCATGTGCCTTCCAAACATAACCTACTCCAACTCCAACCAATGTCGCCGCTGCCATCTTTATCTCTCTTGGGAGAGAGATTGGGTTAATTGGCTGCGGATAAGAGAGATAATAGTGGGTGGATTTTGCTTTTTGTGAATCGAACTCAATTTGTATGTGGATTGTAGATAAATAAGCCTTGAATAACGAACCTATCAATGGGTTTTTTTTCCCCAATTTTTTGGGTTTTCCTTTGGTCTTAGATGTTAGAGAATATGAATTTCATTGAATGAATCATAAAATTACAATATTTTTGTATATATACACACAACCTTTCACACTCTCACATAACTTTAATCTTCTAACTAACTTGCCACCTTTTACAACAATCTCAACTAATTAACCAACGTAATACAACAATCCCAACAAATTAACCAACTCTAAGTTTTATCTCCAACTGAGTCTTTTACAATACTATCTTTAATATCCACCTTCAAACTGAACTGAGGAGTTCGAAGGGACAGGTTGGATCTTAAAAGATGAAACATGTCCTTGGAAAGAGACTTTGTGCAGATATTTGCAATCTAATCATGAGTGCTCACAAAATGAACTGAAATAGCTTTCGATCACACTTTTTCTCAAATGTAGTGGTAATCGATCTTAACATGCTTTGTTCTGGCATGAAACAAAGGATTTTTGGCAAGAGAGATGGTTGATTGATTGTCACACCAAAGTTAAAGAGTACAAGAAAGAGAAACCAATATCAACAAGTAACTAACATATTCATGTAATTTCAGTTCCAGTATTAGCTAGAGATCGATATTTTGCCTCTGTTGAAGAACGAGCAACTGTTGGTTGCTTCTTACCACTTTAACTAATGATGGAGGAACCCATAAAAATACAAAAACCACCAGTCGATCTTTGATCAAGTGTATATACTGCCCAGTCAGCATCAGAGAAGGCTTTGAGACATGGAGCAAAAGTGGATTTTGAAAACTAAGACCAATATCAATAGAGCCCTTGAGATACCAAATGATTCTTTTGACAACCTGAAAATGAGATTGCCTTGGACTCTGCATGAATTGGCAAACAAGGTTGACTGCAAAAGATATGTTAGGCCGAGTCCAGGTTAGATACTGTAAAGCACCAACTAAAGATTGATATTCTGTAGGATTTTCAAGTAATGGAGAGGAGTGATCCAACTTGGATGTACTGAGAGGGGTAACACATGGTTTTGATATTCTGTTGGCTTTCTTTAATAGATCCAAGATATACTTGGTTTGTGTAATGAAGATGCCTTTGGAAGATCTCTGGACTTTAGTACCTAGAAAATAGTGAAGTGCACCAAGGTCTTTGATAGGAAAGAGTGAGCTAAGCTAAGAAATAACATGCTTGCATGCTGAAGTAGATGGCCCTGTGACAATAATGTCATCAACATATACCAAAACAAAAACCATGGGATCCCGTTTGACAAATAATGAGTGATCTGATTGAGATGCAGTGAAGCCAAGAGTTTTCAATGCTCCACGTAATTTTTCATACCAGGTTCGGGGAGCCTGTTTCAGACCATACAGTGACTTATGTAACTGGTAAACATGAGTAGGGTGAATTGCATCTTCAAAGCCAGGGGGGTTGTTGCATAAAGACAAATTCAGACAAGGTCCCATGCAAAAATGCATCGCTTACATCTAGTTGATTTAGACTTCAATCAAACTGAGTAGCAAGAGCAAGTAGTAATCGAATAGTCACAGGTTGAGCCACTGGGCTAAAACTCTCAGTATAATTATGCCCTTCTTGCTGATGAAAACCTTTGGCAACTAAGCTAGCTTTGTACCTATTTATGGTACCATCAGGTTTTTTTTGTTTTTTTTTTTTAATCCTGAAAACCCACTTGCATTCCACAATGTTTTGATGATCATGTTTAGGTGCTAAGGACCAAGTACCAGTATGTTGCAGGGCATGAAACTCCTTCTGCATTGCCCAAAACCCAATATGGATATTTTGAAGCTTGTAGATAGGTGGTGGGAACAAATTCATGAGAGAGATGAGAATGGAGTGGATGGTCTGTTGTAGAAAAGGCTTTTGGTTTGTAAATACCAGATTTGGACTTGGTTTGCATGGGATATGTATTAGAAGGGACTGCGTGAGATGGAGGTATTGAAGAGGATATAAAAGCTATTTTGGAAGAGCTATTAGGAATGATATGAAATGGAGATGATTGTGGAGGTGGAATGATATAACTGATATATGGTTGCCTAAATGTGAGTTAAGTGGGTATAGTATTTGGAGATGAAGATGCTCTTGAGAAATGAGAACACTGTGAAGATGCCTTCATCAAATATCACATTTCTTGAAATGTATAACTTGTTTGTAGTGAGATCCAGACATTTGTAACCTTTGTGTTTGAGACTGTAACCTAAGAACACACAGTGCTTGCTTTTGGGATCCAACTTAGAGTTAGAATAAGGTTGCAACCATGGAAAACAACTACACCGAAAAATATTTAAAGTAGCATATGTAGGTGATCTGTGGAATAGACATTCCCATGAAGACAATCTAGATGCAGTAGGCAATCTATTGATAAGAAACATACTAATGGAAAAGGCATGATCCCAATAAGTGTGAGGAACCTTGGAGACTGTTAAAAGTGTTCTGGCAGTCTCAATTATGTGTCTATGCTTGCGCTTAGCAAAACCATTCTGTTAAGGAGTGTGATGGCAACTTAATTGATGACTGATACCATTCTTAACAAGGAAATTTGAGAATTGAGTGCTAAGATATTCCCCACTAGAATCTAATTCAAGAGCAACAATTTTGGTATGCAACAAGTTCTCAACAAGACTTTTGAATTTAACAAAAGTAGGAAACACATCTGATTTATATTGCAAAGGATAATACTAACAATATTTTGTAAAGTCCTCTACAAAGATGACATAGTATTTGAAATGATTCACAAAAGTGACATATGTTGGCCCCAAAACATTTGTGTGCAGTAGCTCTAAATGCTTACTTGCATGACAAGGTACAGAAGCAAATGGCAATATGAAACTTTTGCTTAAAGCACAACCATTACAAAATGACTTATTTGAACTACTAGACATTGAAATACAAGACTTAGTGGCCAACTTATTTAGTATCTTCAGAGAATGATGGCTGACTCTTTGATGCCATATATCTCTGGAAGCATGAACAGAAGCAGCAAGACCATTGTGATTGCTGGTCACAGTGTTGGAAGGCTGTGGTTGAAATGGATAGAAGCCATCTCTTACAAGACCTTTAGAGCATCTTCCCTGAAGAAATATCCTTCAAAGCGAAGTGAAAAGGATAAAAAAGCATAGAACACCAATTATCAACAAGAAGCTGATTTGCAGAAAGCAGATTTTGTTTCAAATCAGGAACATGTAACACATTGCTAAGTTGAAAATTATGTTCAGGAGTAAGTAATGTAGAGGAACCAGAGTGGAGAATAGGCAAACCTTTGCCATCTCCAATGTAAACTTGCTTAGGTCCGAAGTAAGGCCCTCAATTTTGAAGAGTGTTGTAAAAATTTTTCATATGATTGCTAGCACTAAAGTCTACAATCCAGGTAGGTTGAGCAGAATTTGTGCTTGCAACTATAGTAGAATGAGAAGCATTGTTAGAGTGATGTGGATTCATATGCTGAGGGCACTTAATTGCATCATGCTGAAATTGACAACAAATTTGGCGTGAAATCTTTCTTCCAAAGGAATTAAAGTTGGATTGACCACCACGATTGTACCACTGATAGTTGTTACAAGATGAATTTGGATGATAGTTATTGGATAACAAATTACCTCGTCCCTGAAAGTTTCTAGGATTTGAGAAATTACGATCACCACCACGACCTTGAGAGAAATTGCGATCACCACCACGATCTTGATTCAACTGAAGCACCAGCATTAGCAAAAGCATCATCGATCTCTTCAATTTGTTGAAGATATTAAGCAGCTATGGAATCGCCTTTCGAGGTGTTGCGCAGACATGATCGAAGCTCGTGGATGTACAATTAAGAGGTTGTTGTGAGTCATGACTCCAATTTTGCCCAAATCTCACTGGATGTGGTGACTTCAACAGTGTAAGGAATGATCAATTCAAAAAGCGTGGAATTGATCCAGATTAGGATGTTCTGATCGTTCTTGAACTAAGAAACGTATGCCAGATTCAAAACTTGATTTCTAGAAGCATCAGAGATGAATTGAGGTGGACAAGGCACCGATCCATCAAGAATTCCAGCAAGATTATAACGACGGAAGATCGGAGTAAACAGCGCACTCCAAGTGACATAATTGGTTGTAGTAAGCTTGATTGGCACCATGGATCCTATATTCTGAATCGTGATTAAAGGTGTAAAGAAAGTAGAGCTTGAATTAAAGAGATGATCAAGATGAATCTATGTAGCTGACTCAGAAGAGGGAGAAGTTGAGGTCGCCATGAGAGAGAGTTAGGGTTTGGCGGAAAAAGCTTGGCGTAGAAGCTTAGGGAGGAAGAAAGCTTAGCGAAGAAGTTGTGAGAGGGAAAGAATGGATTGGATCAAGTCGGTGGATAGATGGCGAGTGATACCATGTTAAAGAAAATGAATTTCATTGAATGAATCATAAAATTACAATATTGTTGTATATATACAACCTTCCACACTCTCACATAACTCTAACCTTCTAACTAACTTGCCACCTATTACAACAATCTCAACTAACTAACCAACCTAATACAACAATCTCAACAAATTAACCAACTCTAAGTTTTATCTCCAACTGAGTCTTTTACAATACTATCCTTAACATTAGATGCCATTTTACAAAGGATAAAATTAGTATTAAAATTTTTATTAAAGTGCAGGTGGAAAATCACTACTACAATATAGGCTATCACCGGCGGACCAAAAACCGACAAGAAACCCCGATTTCTGTCGGAAATTTGGCAAAAATCCGACATAAAACACTGCAATGTCGGATTGGAATAGCGACGCCATTGCTACCGTCACTAAAGGGCTTCAGCGTCGCTTTGTTCGCTTAATCCGCCACTACGCAGCGTCGGTTTAAAGCGACGCTGATGTTAACGTCGGTTTAAAGCGACGCTAGTCAACAATTAACTAAATAAAATATACAAACTAGTGACGGTTTAAAGCGACGTTAGAGAACAATTAAATAAATAAAATATGCAAACTAGTGACGATTTAAAGCGACACCACCTTTGATAATAATAATTAAAAAAAAAAGTCGAAATCTGTTTCTGGATTCGTTCTCAAATAATTATAACTCAAAAAAATTATATAATCGAAATAATAAATTTCAATTTTAGGCCAAAACAAACAATAATAAAAATAATTCAAAAGAAAAGTAGTGCCATAATATACAAATGTTTTACATCTAACATTCCATATAATTTACAAAAATTCATCCTCCATGCTTTCCTGTGCTTGCCTTTGTCGAAGACCACATATTTTGTAGCTCCATAGTGCCATATATAATACTAGCAACTCCATGCTGCCATGCTTGCCATCAGATCAGTGCTCCAATACTTTACTACTTCAACATTAAGGCTCTAATCTCTATAGATTAAACTCAGGTTTTATACCTTTAAAAAATTATGGATCTGCGATTTCCAGTGTCCTTGCTCTTCAGATCCAACATGCATAAATACAAAAAAAACAATTAAAAACCAAGAAACAAAAATAAATTTTCAATTTAAGCATAAAACTATTTAGAATACAAAATAGAAACTAAAATTAATAATCATAATAATTTAAAAATGAACCACCTTCAAGCTCTTCCTCCTCGAATTGGAGTTCTTCAGAATGTTGATCTTCAAACTGGTGATCCAAAGCAAACGGGGAAGGAGTTGAGGAAAAAATGAAAAGGAGGAAGAAGGGGACGCACAGATGAAATGGGGAAGGAGAAGAAGAAAGTCTGAAATTGGGGGAGAAATGAAAGCACGGTTGAAATGGGAAAGAGAGGGGTTTAAATATGGGTACTTAGTTTGCATCCGTTAAAACCGACGCAAACGTCTGACACTTTTTTTGAAATTCACATAGTGTCGCTTTAATGAAACTCGCGTCGCTTTAATGAAACTAGCGTCGCTTTAAACCGACACAAACTTCTGACACTTTTTGAAATTCACATAGCGTCGCTTTAATGAAACTTGCGTCGCTTTAATGAAACTAGCGTCGCTTTTAACCGACGCCAACTTCTGACACACTTTTTGAAATTCACATAGCGTCGCTTTAATGACACTAGCGTCGGTTAAAACCGACACTAAGTCTCTCCATCCATTCAAACAAGCGGGAAATTTCCCGCCTAATATTTCAAATACTATAATTTTATATATATTAATTTTATAACCCTAAAAAATACTATAATAATTATATATATTAATGTAACAATTTTATACCCCTAAAAACTATAATAATTATATATATATATATATATTAAATTAAATTTTAAAAATTGGTGACCGTTGGATCAGTTTCAATATACATACCATTCAATTTCTTTAAGTGTTATACATACAAAATAAATAAATTTAAATCTACTTAATAAATATATATATATATATACACACACCATTGAACTTGATGGGATACAAATTCTATGGAACTTTTCGATGGTTATAAAACGAAAAACTAATTTAAATCAATATGTCGCTTAAAAGCGACACTGAGTTTCAAAATATTTAAAAAAACTAATTTAAATTGAAGATCGAATTCATTCATTCTATTCATATAGGGTCAAGGAATGTAGCTGTAAAAAATCATCAAAATCGGAGTTAAAATAACCGTTAAATCGTGATTTTTCGTTTATAACCGTCGAAAAGCTTTGTCCCGTTACTTGATCTCTGAATGTTTGTTTTTTGTGATTTTTTGCTGACGTGATCTCGAAGCATATGCAAACAAGTTTGACGGTTGGGATCGTTGAAATTAGTTTCGGAGAATTCGTATCCCATCAAAACAATAGATTGACTAACACTTAGAGTTTATTTATACTTTCATTAAGTATAACATAAGATTTTGTGGTATCCACTTGTGTAAATATTTTAAATTGAAGATCGAATTCATTCATTCTATTCATATAGGGTCAAGGAATGTAGCTGTAAAAAATCATCAAAATCGGAGTTAAAATAACCGTTAAATCGTGATTTTTCGTTTATAACCGTCGAAAAGCTTTGTCCCGTTACTTGATCTCTGAATGTTTGTTTTTTGTGATTTTTTGCTGATGTGATCTTGAAGCATATGCAAACAAGTTTGACGGTTGGGATCCTTGAAATTAGTTTCAGAGAATTCGTATCCCATCAAAACAATAGATTGATTAATACTTAGAGTTTATTTATACTTTCATTAAGTATAACATAAGATTTTGTGGTATCTACTTGTGTAAATATTTTAATTTGAAGATCGAATTCATTCATTGTATTCATATAGGGTCAAGGAGTTTAGCTGTAAAAAATCATCAAAATCGGAGTTAAAATAACCGTTAAATCGTGATTTTTCGTTTATAACCGTCGAAAAGCTTTGTCCCGTTACTTGATCTCTGAATGTTTGTTTTTTGTGATTTTTTGCTGACGTGATCTCGAAGCATATGCAAACAAGTTTGACGGTTGGGATCGTTGAAATTAGTTTTGGAGAATTCGTATCCCATCAAAACAATAGATTGACTAACACTTAGAGTTTATTTATACTTTCATTAAGTATAACATAAGATTTTGTGGTATCCACTTGTGTAAATATTTTAAATTGAAGATCGAATTCATTCATTCTATTCATATAGGGTCAAGGAATGTAGCTGTAAAAAATCATCAAAATCGGAGTTAAAATAACCGTTAAATCGTGATTTTTCGTTTATAACCGTCGAAAAACTTTGTTCCGTTACTTGATCTCTGAATGTTTGTTTTTTGTGATTTTTTGCTGATGTGATCTCGAAGCATATGCAAACAAGTTTGACGGTTGGGATCGTTGAAATTAGTTTCCGAGAATTCGTATCCCATCAAAACAATAGATTGACTAACACTTAGAGTTTATTTATACTTTCATTAAGTATAACATAAGATTTTGTGGTATCCACTTGTGTAAATATTTTAATTTGAAGATCGAATCCATTCATTGTATTCATATAGGGTCAGGAGTGTAGCTGTAAAAAATCATCAAAATCGGAGTTAAAATAACCGTTAAATCGTGATTTTTCGTTTATAACTGTCGAAATTAGTTTCATAGAATTCGTATCCAATCAAGTTCAATGGTGTGTGTGTGTATATATATATATTAAGTAGATTTAAATTTATTTATTTTGTATGTATAACACTTAAGAAATTGAATCGTATGTATATTTAAGCCAATCCAATGATCACCAATTTTTTAAAATTTAATTTAATATATATATATATAATTATTATAGTTTTTAGGGATATAAAATTTAATTTAATATATATATAATTTAATATATATATATATATATACACACTTTATGTCGCTTAAAAGCGACACTAGTATTTAAAAATTATTAAAATAATGTTTACGTCGGTTTAAAAGCGACACTAGTATTTAAAAATTATTAAAATATATGTTTACGTCGGTTTAAAAGCGACATAAACATTTAATAACGCTTATAAGCGACAGTAAATCCGACGTCATGTTCAGTTAGTGTCGCAACTGCCTAATCCGCTACTATATTAGATTAAAGCGACACCACCCTCCGACACTATAGCCCCCTTTTGTAGTAGTGAATAAGTTTTCTTTAACATGGAAAATAAGATAGTGGGGTAGATTTATCACCACTTTCTTTTTCTTTTTTTAAATTTTTTTTGCTAGGTAATTACTAAATAGGTTAAGGATATATATATCTTTAGACTACATGTTTTTTTACTTTTTACATATTTAGACTACATGTATCTTTTAGTTGCTGAGTTTCTTAACTTAGTACGAGTGAGTTATGCTTTTTTATAGCTATAAATGTTAAAAATTGAGAACAGTTAAAATAAAAATAAAAAAACTATAAATGAAAACTAGGTTAAATCAAACAAAATACTTGTAAAGTTTTATTAAAAAAAATGGCCCGACTACTTCTATGTAAGTTGGGTTGACGCAACTCATCAATCTGCTTGCCATTAATTGTGAGGAGATGATTTAACACATCTTTTCTCTCATTCTGCATTGTAATGGCTCGGAAAAATTGAATGGACCGTAGGAATGTAACTTTGTTAGGCATAGGAGGCAAAGAGAGTACGAAAATGATCGTTGTTACATCCGTTAATATAATTTCTCAAATTGAAAAATAAATCATACATCAAATCTTTATGTATAAAGCCAAGGGCCCAATGAATAGTGTTTTTGGTGTCACAAGCTTCACCAAAACAAGGGGACAAAAATGCCCCTCAAACAAAAAATTTCAAAAGCAACTCAAAATAATGCATCAAATGTGGCATGAGCATTTTTATCATTTTAATAGTATTTTTTAATAATTATTTTCTTTTGTACAATTTATTTTTAAGTAATTAGTACCTCACAATAGGCTAGTAATAATGTGATTCAATCAGTTTTTCATTAAATGTTATTTTTTCTATTTTTAAACACGTTCAAAACATCTTAAGAGACATGTAAAGCCGGTTATAAAAAAAGGTATTTCACACGCGGATAATAATGTAATTAAATTAGTTGTCAAATTATTGTTTTTTTTTATTTGAACAAACGAAATTATCTACACTAAGGGGGTGGGGGTGGGCTTATTCTCACAATGGGTTAGCAATAATGTGATTCAATCAGTTGTTTATTATATATTGTTTTCTCTATTCTTAATATAAATTCAATAGAGACTGATTTTATTATGTGAATTCAGCTGCTTTAATTGGTTTATGAGGGGTTCCTTCTAGCATGATCTAAGATTGTTCATTTACTTCAAATATTTGACTTTCTTTTTGTTAATTTACGCATATAAATACATTTAAAACATGTAGGTCGTACGTAGCACGCCGTGATTCAAAAAATGTCTCGTGTGAGCACGTGCATGAAGGCTAGTCTTAATAAAGGTAGTAAGTAATTAGGATTTGGAGAAGAAACAGGGGTGTAAAAGCACTTCCCATTTATTTGTTTTCTTATTATGGTGATTATCACTTTGTTAAGGAGCAAGAGGGTTCAAAACAAACTTTGACTTATTAAAACTAGGTTCTAAGCTTGTAATTAGTTTAGCTAGTAAGAGATAATAGAAAATGGAAAAATTAGTATCCGGTCCCTAGTTATTATTGTTCATTGACTGAGATCTTATTAGTTTTTAAATTTTGATTGAAGTCTCTAGCATTAATGTGATGATGAATTTACATGTTTATTACATAATTTTTTTAAATAAAAATTAGTAATTGATTTAGCATTTTAATACTCACACCTCTATTAAACTCCTAATTAATTTTCAATTCAAACATTTCCAAAATAAAAATAAATAAATTATAATAAGTTTGTACCCATTAGTTTTTTATAAAAAGATTCTCAATTTTTTTAATCTTAAATGTTTCCATTCTTCTATGTACCAATTTGTTATATGTAAAATCTACCATTTTTTAATATAAAATGAACCCAATTTTTCAATATAAATCCATTCAATTTTTTTTAATCCATTTTTAAATTTATATGGGTACATTTTTTAGTAGATTTTGAGAATGTATCCATGTTAAGTTTAATCGAAGAAATTTACAAATGTAAAGTTTAATATCTTTTTTTTCCCTATGGTTTTGAAGAATGTATGTGGCGACCCGTCCCTATTTTCTATGTGATTTTCTCCCCGAATACGTAAATTGACGTTTGTGCCCTTAATAACAAAGTGACGTGGATGTATATGTAGTTCTATATTATTTTTATTACTATCCTTGTCTACCAATTATTTTAGTTTCTATCCTCCTTAGCCAATAGATATTTTCTTTCTTTTGGACCAATTAAAAGCTACTCTCTCTCTTCTCTGCCAATCAGAACTGATATTTCTTTCTCTCTCTCT